TGAACAAAACTCCTGCTGTGTACATTGTATTCTGACAGCTGATTGGCTGCAAGCACCGTCCAGCCAATTATTTTTCCAGCGTGTCCCTTCAGCAAAAGTCGATCTGATCATCATTGAGGGGATAAGGCCACCCAAGGTTTGAATTTTGGCTGATTTCTGCTGGTTCCTTCCTGTGTGTATTACAAAACTAACCACCCACTGTAGCCCCACTGCAAGGGTTAAGTGCTCGCTTTTGTCTAGGGGCTCAAATAAAGAAAAACCAAACAAACCTGATCCTCAGTCCCGTGTGGCTGCTGGACCAGTCCCCGCAGACTCTTCTCCCCTGGGCTGCTGCAGTCTAAGGACCCATGATGCCATTACATCTTATGCAGGTCCATTGATTGGCATTAGATGTGAGGATGCCGAGGGACATTCCATAGCCAGAGTAGAAGGGGGAGAAAGGTGAGCGCTGACCACCGCAGGACTGAGGAGCAGATGAATAAATCTTTATTTGCACCCTTAGACCAAAACGAGCAATACCCTGCACTGCAAGGGAAAGTTTTATACTATCACTGAGTTCCTCTCTAAAGCTGCCCATACATTGTTATATTCCACTATTCATGCTAAAAGCACGGATGGAAGAGTCTCCCCTGCCAGCTATTTTATAGTACCAGGACAGTGACTGCAGCAGATTGGCTGCAGGTGCCGCCTGTCAGAATACCATAGCTGACAGCAGAGGATGGATGGGGGAATATACAGGTGAAACTCGAATAATTAGAATATCGTGCAAAGTTCATTTATTTCACTAATGCAACTTAAAAGGTGAAACTAATATATGAGATAGACTCATTACATGCAAAGCAAGATAATTCAAGCCGTGATTTGTCATAATTCTGATGATTATGGGTTACAGCTCATGAAAACCCCAAGAACCCCAAATCCACAACCTCAAAAAAGTAGATTATTACATGCAATCAATAAAACAAGGATTGTACATAGAACAATATCGGACCTCTGAAAAGTACAAGCATGCATATGTACTCAGTACTTGGTTTGGGCCCCTTTTGCAGCACTTACTGCAATTACTTTTGCACGATATTCTAATTATTCGAGTTTCACCTGTATAGTTTTCTCTTCTTCATTGTCTGCAGTCCCCTGCGTGGCCAACAATTTTCCGCCCTGTTCCTTTTATTAGTCCCAGGTAGAGGCAGCTGGGCCGTCCACTCTCGCATGCTCTACCCTGAAAGAAAACGTGTTCTCTGTACTGAGTTCTATTCTGGGATACAAGGGGGACTGGGCAGGGTAATGTTAACATAATTAACCCCGTCTGGACTGTGCTGGCAGATTATCAGCTGTAAACTAAATTTTAAGGTTTGTCCTAACAAAGGGTTAAAGATCTGGAAGCATTGAATATTAATGAGGGGAAGCTCAGTCTGTCCCTAGTCTTTTTATGGGGACAGACAGAATTTCCATCACTTGGAAATAGAGAGAGAAGCTTGCAATGCCATGCTACACACGTAAAAGGTAAGAAATATTGTTTAATTATTTTCAGTAAGCTGTGTGAACGGGAACACGTAACAGACGTATAGAGGGGTGTTCTCAGATTTGACTGTAAAAGTGGAAATACACTTTAAAGGAGAACTATGGGGTCAGGGCTTTTCCCCATAGTTCTCCTAAGTGTAACAGGAGGACACAAACTAGCGTCCTCCCGTCACCCAAAGCTCAGTATACTGAGACGCCGCAGCCGGGACGGATCCCGACATCACTGTCAAGATCCACCCAGCTGCGTGATTGATAGCTGGCTCTGCCTATCCAGAGGGAGGAGGGGGGGAATCCCTGCAGGGCGCTGTGAGTCACAGTCACGGCTCTCTGCAGGTATAGATCGAGAAGTGAGCAAGCGCCGGTATGTGTTTGCTCACTTCCCGATCTACTGAGCCGACTTGTGACCAGTTTCATTGTCACAGGTCGGCTAGAACTATGTGGCGAGTGATTTTCACTCACCTCCTAGTTCTCCTTTAAGGTTCCTATCTTATATACACATTAGGGCCAGTTTAGACAGCAGGCATTAAACCTTCCTGCATGTGTTTGAGTGCGGGAGGAAACTTGAGTACCTGAGGAAAGCCCATGTAAGCACAGGGAGAATGTACAAACTCCATGCGGATGGTGTTCTGGTCAGTACATGAACCAAGCACCATTGCTGCAAGGTGGAAGTGCTAACCATTAAGTCATGGTGACATCCTGTTGTATTCCTTTACCTCTATTTTATGTATTTACCTTCTAGGTATAACCTGGGTGTTGGTGTACAGAACGGACAAGTACAAGAGATTGAAAGCTGAGGTTGAGAAGCAAAGTAAAAAATGTAAGTCCATGAAAGTTTCACCCTTTTTTGTTTTGTGTAATGTGGGGAAGAGGTGACATTTCTATCAGGTTATCATTTTTTAGTCAGTGACCCAGTTGGGGAGATTTTCCCTTCCTGGCACTGTGACATCTGTACAAGAAATGGAGGGTGCTGATTTGTGAGGGACAGACTGGCACCGACAGCAATAATCCCATTGTCAGGAGCATTAACCCTTCCACACTCCGCTGAAGATGCAGTTTTGTTTTATTCCCCATTGGAGAGATTTCCTATCAGTTCCCCAGGAGAGAGTTCTGCTGCTTGGACACAGAATAGACAGCATCTCCATAGGAATAAATAAAAGGATTCTGCTTTAAAAGAGAACTATGGGGTAAGTGTTTTTCCCCATAGTTCTCTTAAGGGTCACGGGAAGACATATACTGGCGTCTTCCCGTTACCCAAAGCTCAGTATATCGGGAGCTACAGCTCGCAGTATACTGAGACCGCTGCAGCCGGATCCCGACATTACTGTCGAGATCCACCCAGCTGCGTGAGTGACAGCGGGCTCTGCCTATCTAGAGGCAGAGCCAGCTGTCCCGGCCCCCTCCCCCGTCCGTTCCTCCAGTCAGCGCTGGAGGATCGGAGTGGGGAGGGGGGAATCCCTGCAGGGAGCCGTGGCTGACAGTCACTGCTCTCTGCAGGGAGATGATCCAGAAGTCAGTGAGCGATACTAGTATCGGTATTGGTGCATCCCTACTTGATATTATGCACCTTCATCATGATGATGATCACAGATGATTGATGAATGGCATTGCTGTCTGTTTTGTGCGCTACTGAGTTGCGCATGTTACTACAAAGTTTAGATGTGATTCCGGCTATGTATTTTTCATGACTAAAACCCAGCCCTTCCTCTGTATGTCATTTGTCACACCGTCCTCTGAATGTAGGTACAGTAATTGCTTGCCCTACACCAAGCTGCTATAAGGCTTATGAAGTACGGCATTTCTAATAGAATTTGGATGCCATTCTAAAATATCAAGTGAGATCCCCATGATTTACCATATCGCTTTGATACACACTTTATTAATATAACACATTAATTGTAGCTTGTTTAGTTGACTTCATTCTGCATCATTAGCACAATCCGTCATAAAGAACTGTCCTTGAAGTCTCTCTCTGAAGTTTTTTTTTTTTTAAGAGCCACCCTATGGAGACTGACATTTTTACTAACTGATGGCATGAATTATCCACTGGCTTCATGTTTCCTGTGGAGCTTGTGTAGATGGATATTTGAGACCCATCTTCCATGTTGTGTTTAAAAAAAGGTTAAAGGAGAACTATGAGGAGTGCTTTTCACTCGCCTCATAGTTCTAGCCGACCTGTGACAATGAGACTGTCACAGGTCGGCTCAGTAGATCAGGAGGTGAGCGAACACATACCGGCGTTCGCTCACTTCTCGATCCTGTCACGGCTCTCTGCCGTGACAGGGGAGGGGCTGGATTCCCCCCTCCCCGCTCCGATCCGCCAGCGCTGACTGGCGGAACGGACGGGGGAGGGGGCGGGTACAGCTGGCTCTGCCTCTAGATAGGCAGAGCCAGCTGTCACTCACGCAGCTGGGCGGATCTTGATGTCGGGATCGGCTGCGGCGTCTCCGGCTGCAGCTGTAGCTCGCGGTATACTGAGCTTAGGGTGACGGGAGGACGCTAGTTTGTGTCCTCCCGTTACCCTAAGGAGAACTATGGGGAAAACCGCCTGACCCCATAGTTCTCCTTTTTAAGAAGCACTTCTCGATACAACCTCTAGAGTTTGTGCAACACAATCAGCTTGGATGGGTTCTATGCATCCTTGCACATGAACCTAGTGGATGCACCGCACCGATGTATCTGCAGGAAAATGACACTTTCAGCATTTAGCCAAAAGTGCAATTTTCGGCCGGCGATTAAGCCCCCCCCCGGTTGTTACGCCACTGACCAGAATATATATTAGTTGGTGGCATTCTGCATTGTGCCACCGTATTATACCATGCACAATACACTACAATGCAGGATACCATGCACAATACAATGCAGAACACCAGCAGTTATAGAGGAACACCAAATCCCAGCAATAATACATTAAGCAGCCTGTATAATGTACTATTGCTGGGATTTGTTCCTCTATAACTGGTCAGTGGTATTCTGCATTGCGCCATATAATCATTATACAGCGCAATGCAGAATAACGCCAGCTACAGAGGACTACAAATCCCAGCAATAGTACACTATGGTGTACTATTGCTGCGATTTGTTGTATTCCTCTAAAGCTGCTGGTATTTTGCATTGCGCCGCTGTATAATGTACTATATTCCACTCCACACTTTTTTTTACTTCCACCGCTCCAAGCTTGCTCCCGTGATGGACTACAATCTCAATACAAACTAGTAGTCCATCACTGGAGCCTTTTTTTTTTTTTAACCGATTAATCGAACTTAATAATCGGCCAACTAATCGATTTTGAAAATAATCGTTAGCTGCAGCCCTACATGAACCCAAACATTAACTGTGTAGGTGAAATTGTGAGATTTATTATATTGTCTCGGTCGTGCTCTGGGGTATACATTATTTTGTTAATGCTTTTGTTTTACTGTGTTGACCACTAAACCTGTGCTGCATAATGGTGAGTAATACAATTTTATGGCTATACTCAATTTTCTGTGTTTTTTTGCACATACAGTGGAAAAGAAAAAGGAGGCTATAACAGAATCTGCTGGACGTACACAAAAGAAAAAAATAGGTAATTGTACCTCCTTGTGACCTGTATGAAACTAGTTTTTCACATTGGTTTTTTTTTGTTCTAACTACTTAAATCGTAAATTATAATGCAGATACAAAATTTAAAAAAAGAGCAGATATCACTATCCACTCTCCCTTCTACCCTGCATTTTTTTTCAATACTTCAGTGTGTATTTTGAAATCTATTTGTAAAATGCAGCCTGCGCTATTGAGCCTTAGGTACTTCTTGTCAGCAGAGAGTATTCTGTGAATGGAGGAGAGCCACTTCCACAGGTGACATAATTTTTAAGCTTTTTTTTTTTTTTTTTTCTTCCTTTTTTTTTTTTTTTAACCAGAAGCTCCAATTCTATTTTGTTGCACCCTGCCAGCTTCAGGCTCCCTAAGCTAGTGGGGCACAAGCATCAATGTGCTTTAAAAATGTACCACCATTTTTTTTTCCACCTCAAAGTAAAAAATGTTTTTTTCTGGCTGCTATCAATCCAGCAAAACTTTAAGCTCTGTATAGTTCTGTATGGACTTGTGAAGTTGGCTGTGCCAACCTAGCAAGGTAATTTAAAAGAAAGCGGTGGAGATGTTGCTGGTCGAGCAATAGCTATCAGAACATGTTATCTAACCTGCCTGATCCCTTGCTCTCCTGCCAGCTGCTGTTTAGGGGCACTCTACCACTTGTTGTCATGCCCACTAATGGATGATTTTTGGGAATCATTTGTACAGTTCCTGTATGACTGTTTCCATGCTATGCTTATGACCTAATTTGAGATTCCTCATTCAACAAACTCTGCTGTGTATTAAGACCTTGTATCTGTACATTTTATAAAATACTGCAGACTTTGATTGGCTATTGGGTATATGTAACTCTGTCTCCAGCTTTTAATAAGATGGCCATTAAAAGATTCCTGATGTATCACAATATACAGTAACAGTGTCTTAAAATTATATATATATATATCAACAAGCCATCCCTGAGCTCCAGTCAAGTTGCTGTGCCTGAAATGATGTCATCAGTCTGCTGCAGACAAGAGGAAGCATTTCTTAAGTCTCCTGTCCCCAGACTGCAACATTTGTAACAAGTACATATGGCTGATGCTATGTCTACTTTGATTTCAAACTTAATTTTCTCCCAGCAATACATTCAATAAACCTTGACTGAATTATAAAACCAACAATTGTGTCCTTGACCATGCAATAGCTTCTCTACTGACTCCTGTGTAAGCTCCATCTGGTCTCTGTGTTTCCAATTTGTTGAGGCATTGATTGACCAGACACTTTATATGCATTTCTGTGACACCAATGTGATTTATTTGTTTTTACAGAACGTCAGGAGGAGAAGTTAAAAAATAATAACCGTGATCTATCCATGGTATGTAATATTGCAATCCAATGGAACATAGCTGTTCAAGTGTATTTTGTATATAGATCAGTCACAAAAACTCCCGGAAGTCTTTTCTGCAGTTATCTGTATACCACAAATACAGAGAGAGGTAGAAACAAGCAGTCAGAAAGCTTTTCTGGTCTCTAGTACCCTTTTATAACTTTTAGCCACTTCAGCTCGTCTCTCTATGCCACTTATTAAATTTTTTTACATTTCTGCTATGGGCCTGTGTATTTGGTCCAATATTATTTTTGTTGGGTTCTTTAGTAGTACAAATAGTATAATTATGTACTGTTCTTCTTCGCTCAAGGAGCAATTACCTGCAGCTAGAACAGATGCCCTTATCTGGATGCAGGCTGTTGCCTTCCAGAACAGCTCATCTGTCCCTAATCAACGGTAGTCACTCCTTGAGCATTTACATTCGGACAAATGCGGACTTTGAGTTATACAGGCTTCCTATCCACAGCTGAATGTAAACAGTGCCCTACCTGTCCCAGAAGTACGCTATCTGGGTGGTGTATGACCCTGCACACGTGTGAATGAACCCTTAAGCTGCAGTAGATTACATTTATGTTCTTATGTAATCTTGTAAGACTAAACTGGTTAGTTGAAATGCTGTATTAAATAATGATTTGTAGATGCAAGCAGATGTATCACATACACACACATGTATAATACATTTCTCACACGACAAAAGAAAAGTTTTAATCGTTTTAGCATCAAGCAGCTTTAAAGGAGAATTATGACCTGAGGGCAAATAAAAATACTCCTTACCTTTTTATTATATTAGCATTCTTCCTTTTTTCTGAAGTCACAGCACATCACAGATAAAGTCATCAAAACCCACAGGAAGCGGCCACCTGCAGCCCTGCTCCATGCTCCTTTCCTCTTAGGGGACGTTAACAGTTGATCCAGCCCGCCCTCAGATTTTTTTTTCAAATTCTCCTACTGATGTGGCCGTGTTTTCTCTCACAGCTGTACTACCTCGTGTACCGCGAGCTGCAGCGCGGTATACTGAGACGCCGCAGCTGAAACGCATTCCGACAATTGTCTGGATCCGCCCAGCTGCGTGCCTATCTAGAGGCAGAGCCAGCTGTACCCGCCCCCTCCCCCGTCCGTTACACCAGCCAGAGCTGGAGGATCGGAGCAGGGAGGGGGAATCCAGTCCCTCCCCTGCTCTCTCTCTCCCCCTCTCCCCCTCTCCCTCTCCCCTGTGTCACGCTGACATCCTAGAATCACTGGGGATCGCTGAAGAGAGAGGGGAAAGGAGGCTCTCTTCAGCATTTACTACATATGAGCAAGTCCATATATGGTGAATGATGTCACTGGAGATCCCTGCAGACTGGCAAGCATCTGATCAGCAGGGATCCCCAGTGACATGATAATTCACCATATATGCACTTGTTCATATGTGGCATCCTACCACATATGAGCAAGTCCATATATGGTGAATTTTGTCACTGGGGGATCCCTGCAGACAGCACGTGGAGTAGGCGGGGCAGATGAAGGAGGGAGGGGATCCAAGGCTACACTGCAGTTTGTCTGGAAGGCGGGCACAGACGACGGGACGTGAAGGTAAGGAGAGAGCTGCGTGGGGAGAGCTGCTGCGCATGTCCTTATGTTCGTGGACGCGCAGCAGCTCTCAGCGATCACTGTCAGTCACAGTGACGAAGATCATTGGGCAGGATCCTGACAGTATTATCGGGATCTCTCCTCATTGCGGCACTTAGCCCCGCCCAGCATGTTAAAGAAGGGTTTACAGGCTTAGGGTGCATTTTGGCTTATAGGAGCAAATTACACTATTATTGCATTCCTTAGGCTAAAGGAGTAAATAAAGAAAAAGTAGTACCCCATAGTTCTCCTTTTAAATGTCTCTCAGTTGATTATATGAGAATTGTTTACTACTGCTACATATATTTTATATGACTAACCTTTACTTTTGATAATACGCTCATCTCTGAATTGATTATTTAAGAAATGTATACTCTTGCTGAATCTCTATATTTTTGAGAAAAGAAAATGAATCGCCACATTCACTCACTTCTGCAACCTTTTGCTGCCGGCGCCATGTTTAAATTTTTTTGCATGCATGTTCAAATGCAAATTTTAGGCCTGAGGATTACTTAAACCTCCCAAACATTATAGAGACCATGTAGAATACAATTGTGGCAGTTTAAATTTGTTTCACACAATTGCGCTACTTTTAATCAAATCTATATTGGTATATAAATACACTGACATGAATTTTATTGCACACAAACAAAACTATAATACCCAACTTTCTGCTAAAATATAAAAGATGAGGTTGCTTTAAGTAGATACCAGATATGTCACTGGTGAAAAACTACAGTACCCAAAATTATCCATTGGTGTTGGCGATTCTTTGAAAAAGCCGTAGCTCTTCGGCTAGTCTATGGCTTTTAATCATTTTGGGGGCATTTTTTAATTTAAACTTTAAGTTCAAAAAGAAAAAATATTTTTAAAATAAAAGGAGAACTATGAGGTTAGGGCTTTTCCCCATAGTTCTCTGAAGGGTAACGGGAGGACACAAACTATCGTCCTCCCGTTACCCAAAGCTCAGTATACCGCGAGCTGCAGCGCGGTATACTGAGACGCCGCAGCTGAAACGCATTCCGACAATTGTCTGGATCCGCCCAGCTGCGTGAGTATCTAGAGGCAGAGCCAGCTGTACCCGCCCCCTCCCCCGTCCGTTACACCAGCCAGAGCTGGAGGATCGGAGCAGGGAGGGGGAATCCAGTCCCTCCCCTGCCACGGTTCTCTGCAGTGACAGGATCGAGAAGTGAGCGAACGCCGGTATGTGTTCGCTCACTTCCTGATCTACTGAGCCGACCTGTGACAGTTTAATTGTCACAGGTTGGCTAGAATATGAGGATGAGTGAAAAGCACTCACCTCATAGTTCTCCTTTAATTCATTTCACAAAGGGGCTGATAAACTATCTACCTGCTAGCATAGTGCACTTTACTGATTCTATTTAAGGAGGTATCAGGAAGAAAGAAGACCTCTGAAGCCTATTGAGCTTGATGAGGCCAGATAATAACCGCTCTAAACCCCGAAATGCTCTGGGAAATCATGCTTAGGCATACATTGTCCCTTTTGGTGACACAGAGCAGCTGGTAGCTCTTAGTCTTGGTTGTCACTGACAGCTGGGGCCCTCACTGATGATCGGACATAAATCAGCATAGTTCCTGATCATGTGATCATTATGTCAGTTTTGACAGGGTGATCCCATTCAAATTGGAGGTTTGCATAGGCAGTGCTATAGGTTTAATACTATAATTATTATATTGCAGTATTAAAAATAAAAAAATAAATTAGTTAAACCATAAACATTTTTTTTTTGCATTTGTAAGCCTATGATGAAACAAAAATCAGAGCAGTTTTTATTTAAACAGAGTACAAAATAAAAGTATTACAGTATGTCCTTTTTATAAAAGTGATGTGTATGCTATTTAGTCAAAAAGTTAACGGACACATGATGACGCTGATAAATTTGGCCTGGGCATCAATGGCCCATGGGCACGGAAGGGTTAATGAACAAGAAGTTGCTGCCGCTCAGAGTACTGTGATTCATTTTCTTAAAAATGTTTTATAATTAAATTTACATTTTTTGTATACTGAGATTTACTAGACTGTATTGTAGATGAGTCGGCAAAGGTTTCTAATGCTTATGCCTGTCAATAGGTCCGCATGAAGTCCATGTTTGCCATTGGATTTTGTTTCACAGCTTTGATGGGAATGTTCAACTCTATGTAAGTTGTGTATCATCTTCTAAGTTTACAGATAAATGAATAAGCAGTGATTGCGTGCTAATTTAATTAATTTTTGGATATTATTAGGCTGCTCCTAATGTAGCAACAGCCAATAATAACCTTACACTGATCCTGGCAACAAGACCGGATTAGATCTCACTAGGCTTCTGATGGTCCTCAGACATCAAAAGTTTGATACATTTCAGCAAAACAAATACTTTGTTTCTTATTGCTGAAATGTATCGTTTGGTGAAGAATGTATCTTTACATCAGGACTTGCACCATGTCTATAGAGCTTTCAAAAGTGAAATAGCGAAAGCAGTAACTCATGTCCTGCTCCTGCTATTTCAGCTGTCAAATGCTGGATCCTGGTATTTGTAACAGCTTCTTTCTTTCATTGATGAAAGAAGCTTTTACAAAAGCTTAACTATTTAATTAATGGATGCCTCAGTATAATACTGAGGCATCCATCAATGAACGGTAACCATGATTCTCAGCAGTTACCGACATTTCAAAACCCTGTATAGCTGCTCACCTAAAGTGTACGTGAGCAGTCATTTAGGCACTTCATGATGGAGACGTACAGTGTATGTCTCCAGTCGTGAAGGGGTTAATGGGTTATTAAACCCTCCGTGGTTTTTGCATATATCTACTGCTAGCAAGTAGGTTTTAAACTTACCTGTGTCTTCGCGGCGCCCTCCCATCCGAACATCTAAAGAGTCTTGGGCGCCCACAAAGGATCTTGGAGCGGCCGAATGTGCAGTTCAGATGTTCGGCCGGGAGACGTGGAGAGACACAAGGTAAGTCTATGGAGCAGCGTGCACCCGCACAGACTCCATGGGACGTCAGAGGAGAGGAGGACAGAGGAGTCAGCGCTGGATCAGAGACCAACACCAGCGCTGGAGGAACAGCTGAAAAGTTCAGTAAAGAAGAAGATGATCAAATCAAGAGGCATCATTTAAGGTAATTCTCTACAGCAGGATTAGGAAGGGGGGAAAAAATTTTGACTTTAATCTGTTACCGTACTTTGGAGGAACAGCTGAAAAGTTCAGTAAAGAAGAAGATGATCAAATCAAGAGGCATCATTTAAGGTAATTCTCTACAGCAGGATTAGGAAGGGGGGAAAAAATTCTGACTTTAACCTGTTGCCGTCCTCCCGTTGCAAAAAAACGGACGGTGGACTCGCATTTGCGGGTTTTTTTTCTGCTCGCGCCCCCCAGCGCGCGGTTAGCCAGAGAGAAGAAGCTGATGAAGCAGATCTGTGCTTCATCAGCTTCTTTTGGGGTCCCCAAGTGACATTGGGGGTCTTGGAGATCCCTAATGTCTCCATAAAGAAAAATGTGTGCCTTTGCTATTATATAGGGGGATGGTTATCCCCCTATGTAATAGCAATAACAAGTGTAAAAAAACATAAAGAGTAAAAAAATAAATAAGTACAACCTTTTAAATGTAAATACGCGTTCGCAGCACCAGCATGCGAAAATGACAATTGTGCTACACATGTTGCATATCGTCGCGAACTTCGGAATGAGAGCAATCATTTTAGGGCCATCAATCACTGATAACACTAAACTGATGAGCGGTAAAAGCTTTTAAAGCATCGTCTATGGCCAATTTTGGGTATTGTCGTTTTTTGAGGTTTCGCGCGCAATTTTAAGGCATGTTTGGTGTCTTTTTACCCGACGTGACCCCGTCTTTTATTTTTTACCAAAAAATTGGGTAATAATAAAGGTAAAAACCCCCCAGTGGTGATTAAATACCACCAAAAGAAAGCTCTGTCTGTCCCCAACATTTTTTATAAAATTGATTTCAGTGCAGCGTTGCATGACGGAATAAATGTCAATCAAAGTACTGCAGCGCTGAACACTGAAAAATGGCCTGGATGGGAAAGGGGTTTAACACCGCGGACTTGAAGTGGTTAATGTCATGAGTGGTTGACATTTTTTAATTTTGCTTGTAAAACTTATGCAGATAGTCTTTTGCTGCCACTGAGTGTGTCTCCTTTAAGGAGGAATGGGCTTACCTCCAAAGCATACCTGCTCCTATTTATTAATTGCTATTTATGTCCAATAATGGGAGCTCTGTTAGACTGGAGTCCACACTTTGCAAAGGTGCCTTGGCATGACCCTGTTGCTTTACATATATTTGCAAATGCAACAAAAATCTTATTTTTTAACACAAATTCCTGAAACTGAAACGGTATAGACTAGGAGTGGACAAATGAATATTTAATTTAGGAGCCAGTCTGTCCAATCCAGGAGGCGGCACATTTTTTAGGAGCCAGCCTTATTGACAAGAATCTCCAAAGTTAGGCACCAGCTGTAATTTTTAAGGGGCATTGGCTACCTGGCTCCTGCCATTTTATTTTGCTCCAATCAAATTGCTTTTCAATCAAAAATTTGTGCCTACTAACTGTTAAGTTTCCTGGTCAACTTTTTATAATATGGCAAGTCTTCTCCCACTTTATCTGCACGTTGCCCCTTGTGGTAAGGCAGCATTTCCAGCATGGAACCAGTGATCTAAACAAAACTTGGCACACGTTAATATTTATACATAGAGAAGAGTGGCCTGCCTGCACTTAGGTTGCAATTGCTTTCTTATTAACCACTTGCTGACTGTGGTGTTTACACTCCCTTCCTGTCCAGGCCATTTTTCAGTATTCAGCGCTGCAGTACTTTGACGTTTATTCCGTCATGCAACGCTGTACTGAAATGAATTTTATACCATTTTTTGGGGACACATAGAGCTTTCTTTTGGTGGTATTTAATCACCACTGGGGGTTTTATTTTATTTTTTATATAACACAAAAAAGTACTGAATATTTTTTTAAAAATGGTTTTCCCTTTATTATTTTAGAAAACAATAATTTTTACCCAATTTTTTGGTAAAATATAAAAGGCGGGGTCACGTCGGGTAAATACACCAAACATGTCAAGCCTTAAAATTGCGCGCGCCTGTGAAATCGCAAAAAAAACACCCATAGCCAAAATTTGCCATAGGCGACGCTTTAAAAGATTTTACCGCTCATCAGTTTAGTGTTATCAGTGATTGATGGCACTAGAATTATTGCTCTCATTGCAACACTCGCGGCGATATGTAACTCGGGCAGCATAATTGGAGCAATCACCATTTTTGCGTGTAGGCGCATGTAACGCATTTTTGCCTATCTTTGTGGTGGGGCTCATTTAAAAAAAATTGTGGGTTTATTTTTTGTTTTGTGTGTGTAAATTTTGTATTTTTTTTAAGCATTTTTTTTTGTTTTTTTTTTGTTACACTTAACTTTGGTTACCTTACATAGGGTGCTCCTATGTGATAACAAATTACATTTACAGGTCCCCTTTATGGAGACATCAGGGGTCTCTAAGACCCCTAATGTCACCTAGGGACCACCAGAGAAGCTGATGAAGCACAGATCTGCTTCATCAGCTTCTCTCCGGTTTCTGTACCGGAGAGTGACAGAGGAATGCGGAAGTGATGTAAGATACATCACTTCCTGCATTCAGAGACTGGGAGGAGAGCAGAGGGAGATCGCGGACTGATCTCCCTCCGTTCTCAGTGCCACATCGCCCGGGACGGGTGGACGCCCGGGACAGCGACGGTGACCAGAGGTAAGGAGGGGGGATGCACCCTCACTTGATTCGTACAAGCGATCGTGCGTCATAACAGACGCCGGCCCGCTTGTATGCAAACGGCCATAGCTGGCCGTTTAAAATCCTGGCGGGTTCCCGCTCGTGCGCGCCATAGGGCGCCGGCACGAAGGACGTCTAAAGACGCCCACCCGCATCCAGGATACTCCCGTCCGGCCGTCTTTCAACGATCGGCGGACGGGAAGTGGTTAAAGAATAAAACTCTCCTGCATCTTATTCCATTATTTTCTGTTTGGCATTGCATTTATACTCTGAACAAACAAGGCCTCATGGTACTGTGGATGCATATGGCCCTTTCACTATAGGCACCAGTGGAGAATTTGTCTACAGTGTCTGTCTACACTTCAAATTTTCAGAGACGCGCTTTGGAAAGAAAGACCTAGGGACATTTCATTTGAAGAAAAAAAAGATTGTGCCTTGTAAATATAAATGTTAATGTATCAGAAGGTGACCATTTCATTTCTACATTTTTTCTCCCTCCAGTTTTGATGGCCGGGTCGTAGCAAAGTTGCCTTTTCTCCCCCTTTCCTATATTCAAGGTCTGTCTCACAGAAACTTGCTAGGGGAGGATTATACAGACTGCTCATTTATATTCCTGTACATACTTTGTACTATGTCCATCCGTCAAGTAAGTATAAAAACTGTTCTTAGAAATTTCCAGTTTTTATTTTTATTTACCGTATTTTTCGCTCCATAAGACGCACTTTTTTCCCCCCAAAAGGAGGGGGAAAATGTGCCTGCGTCTTATGGAGCGAATCCCGACGCCCGAGACATGCAGTTTCGGGCGCCGGGCGAGTAGCAGGAGCCACTGCTCGTTTAATACAAGTGATCTAATGAGATCACTCGTATTAAAGCCGAGCAGCGGCTGCGATCACGTTCAGTAGTCTTAGCCACTGCTCGTTTAATACGAGTGATCTAATGAGATCACTTGTATTAAAACCGAGCAGCGGCGATGATCGAGATCACCATAGAGCAGACGAAGAATGGACGTTCTTCGTCTGCTCTGTGTGATCACTGAGACCGTGGCGCTGTAATCACAGCGCCACCTGTCTCAGCGGTCACTAACTGCAGCTTCTGTCACAGCTTCTGTCATAGAAGCTGTGACAGAAGCTACAGTCTGTCGAGTGCTGCATAAGGCGCGCCGGACCTCCCTGCGTCCTATGGTTTTATGGACCGCAAAATACGGTAGTTTATTTTGCTGCATGAATTAATTTAAATGCATTATGGATTTTAAGCTATTTAAACTCTTGAACAATTTGTGTAGCACACATAGAAATGGTCCAATCTTCTCTAAAAGCAGTACAATTGGTTCTAGGTATATACAAGTATTTGCACAGAAAGTGAAGATCTTTGATACATTTGTCTTGGAAGTCACAGATAGAGACCAGGCAAACTAGTGTAGTATGGAAGTTTGCCTCAAAATTTTAGTTCGACCTTACAGCTTCTTTTTGTAAATTTCCCAATTTCACCACTTGAAGTCCGGGGTGTCAAACCCCCTTCCTGTCCAGGCCATTTTTTAATATGCAGCGCTGAGGTACTTTGACATTTATTCAGTCATACAACGCTGTACTGAAATCAATATTGTACCATTTTTTTTGGGGGACACAACGCTTTCTTTTGGTGGTATTTATCACCGCTGGAGTTTTTAGCGTTGAAATTGCGCACACCTGCGAAATCACAATAAACGACCATACATAAAATTGGCAAAAGGCGACGCTTTAAAAGCTTTTACCGTTTAGTGTTAACAGTGATTAATGGCCCTAGAATTATTGCTCGCACTTTGACGTCCGCGGTGATATGTAACATGTGTGGCGTAATCGTTGTTTTTTTCACACGCAGGCGCACCCGATGCGTATTTACGTTTATATGTGCGGGGACTTTAAACTTTTTTTTTTGTTACCCTTAACTTTATTGCTATCACTTAGGCGGATAACAAGCCCCCTATGTGATAGCAAATATACAATGACAGGCCCTCTTTATGGAGGCATAAGGGGCCTCTAAGACCCCTAATGTCACCTAGGGAGCCCCAATATCTGCTTCACCAGCTTCTTCTCTGGCTATAGTAGCCAGAGAAATGACAGCTAAAGGCGGATTTCAACTACCACCATTTTATTCTATAGGGTCTTGGCATTCAGAAAATATATAATGTTGGGGGGTTTTACGTCATTTTCAGGCCTAAAATGTGGAATATAACATGGGTGCAAAAATTGAAAAAAGGGCCTCAGTCATGAAGGGGTTAAAGATCGGAGGAGAGATCAGCAAGTAGTAAAACGCTAATCTCTCTTACGCTTACAGTGTGACCAGCCGCTGTGCTGGCCCCCGGCCTGCAGCAGGGATGGCGGAGCCCGGGACAACCGGCAGCGGCGGTGAAGAGCGGCAGCAGGAGGGGGCACAGCAGCGGAGGGAGGGGCTGCATATTCGAGGTTAACATACAAGGGTTCAGACGGCTATAGAGCTGCCTGAACTCTTGTATGGAACAGCCGGTAACGGCTGTATACATCTTTTGAGGGAATCTGCTTGTGCGCGCCGCCCGGGTTCCTGATACCGGAAGTTCCGGTATTGGGAGCATTTGGCCAAGTGCAGGTACTCGCTCAAATACTCTGTATTGGCACCGATACTAGCATCAGTCCCTAATATACATATAGATCGATAGATAATAAAAATGACTGACCTAAGTTGTATGTGTGTATATTATATAATATTATATAATGCAATAAATACACACTAGACATGTAAATTTTGATATTATGAATATAACATAAACTTCTTTCTATTTTAATTTAGAACATTCAAAAAATGTTGGGGCTTGCACCATCCCGAGCAGCTACAAAACAGGCCGGAGGATTCTTGGGACCCCCACCACAAGCTGGGAAATTCTCCTAAGATGCACAGTATTCCACAATTTTTTTGTTGCTGAAAGTCTAGGACTCTGTGGAACTGATTTATGAAGACTGAACTGAACTGATTTATGAACACACAATTAACTATTTCACACACTGAATTTTTTTTATAGTGTTTGCAAATTGAAAAGCCTAGAACACATCGTGTAAAGCAGAACTCCAGCAAATGTTTTTATTAAAATGTGCTGTTTAACAAATATTTGACTCATGTAATACAAGGCCTTCTGGGAATGGACAAGAGGAGAGGAGGGCATTTCAACGATACTACGGCTTCTGTGTATGAGAACCGTAGCAGGCAGGTATAGAGAAGGCTGTACTCTATGGCATGAATGAAACTGTAAATATTAATGAAAGGGCAGTGATCCTGCAGGTGCAATACACCTTATTTACCATTTGTTACACAGCACATTTTAATAAAAAAAATGTTTGCCTGGAGTTCTACTTTAAAACAAAATGTTCTCTGTACATTGAAAACAAATGATTTGGTATACCGTGCAGGTTGTCAATCAGGTGTATTATATACAACCTAGAAGAAAAAGCTAAAATGAGTACTGTCTAATCTGTATTTATTTCAAACTGGTCAATGTATTAGGGCATTTTGACTGCAAGCTAATGGATATCGTATTTAAAGGAGATGGGCCCATCCACCTATGAGTGATATAAATGGTAAATGTAGCCTTTCTGAAGACTTTGTTTCTAAGGCTATTGGCTGCCAAGAATCAGCTGTTGGAAATGCTATAGATGCTTTTTTTATGCATCTTTATTGACTGTATTTTCTGTTCAAACCTCATCAAAGGCATGTGCGGTGCAGAAGTTATTTTTGTTCATTGTATTAAATCAACCAACTACGGGGGAACAACAGTACATTGTGTTATATTAATCACAGAGCAGGGCAATTTGCTTTAAGATATATTAGTGTCTGTTTCCCCAAGCAAGGTAGCCCCAATGCCTATGTCCCAACCTGTGAAAGGAGCCAGCCCCAGTAGTAAAGGTCTCCAGGGAGAAGCTGCATGGTGCAGAGCAGCCCACATTGCAGAAACCCTGGTGGCAGGAACAGGGTATGTATGTTGCTTTCAAGGAGTGCTGGGGAAGGGCATTGGGTCTTACAAAGGCTGCATTCATACCTTTTCAGATGCGTGTGCTTTCCATTGTAATTAATGCAAATTTATGATAACATGCTGTACAATGCACTTTGCATTGTACATAAATGCTCCTGTTGTAAAAGCGGTCTAAAGTCACAGCATATACTATCCTGTTATAACATCAGCAGTGTAATAGGAATACATACTAGAGTTGTTTTTGATAATGCAATCAAAGCTTATTTGAAAAATCCCTTTTTATGTAGTGAGAGCTGCCTTCTGTCTCCCCATCACTTTCACCAACCTACCGGATTCCTAGCATACTTTGCATCTCTTACCCTGCTGCTTGATGTGTTGCAATCTCGATTTCTGTAGGCTACATATTCCATCATGCACTGCTTCCAGCAATGATGATGCTACATTGTGAGAAATTGAGATGGCAGGTGACACAAGGCAGTGCATATTCACAGGGCTGAGTGAAATTGTGTCACTGCATTGAAGTAATACATCCTATGGCAGTGGTGGCGAACCTTGGCACTCCAGCTGTGCCAAATCTACAAATCCCAAGATGCATCTGCCTCTGGGAATTATGTCTGTGGCTGTCAGAGCCTTGCAATGCCTCATGGGACTTGTAGTTCCAAAACAGCTGGAGTGCCAAGGTTCGCCATCACTGTCCGATGGGCATCACAAACTTCTAAATCAATATGATTACTAGGACTGAGACTGAACTCACTGAAATTCAGTACAGGAATCCATATTTGTTTGGTTTTTGACCTTTAACACGTCTTACAATGTGTTGACGTGCTTTTTCTTGCTTTTCCATAGATTTCAATGAGAGAAACGTGTGTGAATGCAGCTTCAGGATAAATGCACTTGCTCTTAAATGGGGTATTGTATTTATCTTTAGTTTAGGGTGATGATAGAATTTGTGTTTCATTATTGTCCATTGAGGGGAAACAGAATTTCATATTCACCAGCTGCGGGCAATCTCCTGTAATCGACAGGATAGCCAATGGTTCATGCATATGAAATACTGTGCTCCTCAAGGGACCCCAAGAATGTGATTTACAGTAAGTGTAAAAATACACGTTTCTTTATCCATTGCGAAATTGTGTTTCATAATAATGAACTGAGGGTTGTACTGCGCTCTTTAGGAGATTGCTCAAAGATCATGAGTACGAAACGCTTTATTCCTCAATAAATTTATTGGAACAACTGTTTTTGTTTTTGCCAGAGTACAAGTATAACAGAAACATTATTTGCCACCTGCTAAAATCTCGATCATAATTGATCTGTAAAGTCTACAGTTTTCATTTACCAGATCCGATAGAAGAGTATTAGTCATTAAACAGTAACATTGAGCCAGAAGTGTAAAACTTAAATCCTATATTCATAGATTCTACTACACTAATTTATTAGTATTTGTATTGGGATGGCTTTTTATCCAATAATAATTTTGACTTGAAATGAATGCACGGATGTGTTTTATTTTTGAGGTATTTAAGATGATAATAAAATAGTGCATTTTGTATATGGATTATATGTGGATTTTGTAAATGATTGTATGTGTAAATATATTTAGTGTGTGTGTGCGCGCGCACACACACACACATGCACACACACACACACACACACCCCTTACAATCTGGACACACACACACACACACACCCCTTACAATCTGGACACACACACACACTTCTCCACCCCTTACAATCTGGACACACACACACACACACTTCTCCACCCCTTACAATCTGGACACACACACACACTTCTCCACCCCTTACAATCTACACACACACACACACTTCTCCACCCCTTACAATCTGGACACACACACACACTTCTCCACCCCTTACAATCTGGACACACACACACACTTCTCCACCCCTTACAATCTGGACACACACACACACTTCTCCACCCCTTACAATCTGGACACACACACACACTTCCCCACCCGTTACAATCTGGCTTTTGCCCACAAATCTATCCGTTTCTTGCCCCACCCTTTCAGTCTCCTTGCACATCACTAATGGAAGCATGCCATACTACTTCCCATAATTACATTTTTCAAAAACTGAGCTCCTATTCCCCCCTCCCTCTGTGTGTTTGCGTATATAGTATATATAATTTATTTTTACATCGGTGTTCAGCTTTGCTTTTACCAGGCTGGCTGGTGCCAATGTAACCCTAGCCTCTGTTATGACAGTACACTTTCAGTCTAATGAGATGCAATGCACTGTACACTGATGGCGATCTCTCCTAGGGCTCAATGAATCTGATATGCAGCAGATGAGGGCTGCTCTTACCCTTTAGGAAGGCTAATTGTCATCCTGCAGCACTAATCCCAGAAAAACCCACCACCTTGGGGCAAAGGAACAACTGAAGACTAAGGACGTTGGGGGTGGGGGCGGCGGCATAGACTCGCCCACCACAGCGTCAGACATCCATCATCCTTCACTTGCTTCTGATGGACTTAACTATTAGGGGTCTTCAGTGACGAGGTTACACCAGTGTGGATATGCCTTGGATATGTATAGCACCCTGTGGCTACCTCAAAGAACTTCATGTGCCAAGGTGGATGGCCACGCAAGATCCAATGACCAAATCTACATTACAGAGATATATATATATATAATGTAGGCTTACATTTAATAAAATGATACCTCCGTATCCACAGGACAGGCCGACCACCTGACGGGGACTAGGAGGGCAGAAAGGCTTGACGCTTGTTCTATGTAACCTCATTACTCTGTTTCCTACATCGCCAATTACAATGAAATTTCCAAAGCTGGTTTGAATGTGATTAGTAGTTGTGAGTTTGGCATTCAGAAAATATATAATGTTGGGGGGTTTTACGTCATTTTCAGGCCTAAAATGTGGAATATAACATGGGTGCAAAAAATGAAAAAAGGGCCTCAGTCATGAAGGGGTTAATACCAACATGATATGTTGGTGCTGAGACTTAATTTTCAATGCTGACTAGGGACTAATTTTAAGAGACTGCTCAAATATAAGTTGGAAAAAAAAAAGTTTCAAAACTACAGTCTGTCAAATTTAAGTGTGTTTTTTTTAAATTTATTTTTTAAATAACTTTTTACTATCCCTTTTTTTTGTCTATTTACATTCCTTTTTTAAAAATTTTTGTTCAATGTTTTTCTTAGCCCTTATGGAGTTGATTTGTAAACGATTTGCAGGGCCGTTCACTCTGACTATTTGTAAAAATATGTCCTTTGCAAATATATGCACAAACAAATGTTCTTTATTTATTTTCCTTTACAAGTGTAATTAAATGTGAACGTTCTGATTGTAATATTGCATTAAGGCCACTTGATGGATCTGAGGAACATAGAAAATCCTTATTTCCTGTGCTTCTTGATTGCTGTCTAGTGGCCATAATGTGATATTACATGACTCAGAACAGGTAAGAGGGAGAAAAAAAAGAGACGTAGTGGGGTTAGAAACAGGAACGTGGTGGAAGAAAATGACATCCTGAAAGTAGATAAAAATATTTCACTAATGCAGTGTGTAGCATGAGCAATTCAAACAAAAAGAACACGGGAAGGTTTGTTGAACATTAGCACACATCAGCAGTGGTCATAGAACACCTTGACGTGTTTCACACCGATGTGCTTACTCGTAAGGCCAACTGCACTACAGCTGCTGACATGACTAATTGGGAGACATCCAACTAATAAGAATAACTGCTCAGGTATAACTTCATCATACTGCAGCCATTACAACGCATTCCTAAAACATTAAACACATAACTATGTAGACATAACAAGATATTCTATAACCACTTTGCAGTCCTAGTGATTTTATCTGAGAAATGTTAATTGGCAGGCCGGGATCTGTCTTCTACATGGTTTTACCTACAATCCTACAGATTATGCTTCCTTCCACTCTTTCAAGAATCTGTTGTCCTTCAAGGGATTATCTAAACCTCTTTAACTTGTAGTCTGCTTTCATATGGGCTGTCTTGAGGGGCTCTTATCCTGCCTTAATTATATTAAACCCTTCTAGTCAGGAATTCTATCTCATCTGTGTTGTTACAACTTGGACGCGGCACAGCTACTCGTTT